TCCGTCTCCAGTCATATTTTGAGTGCCTTCCAACATGATGGGCTCATCTTCTGGCACTGTATCTGACAGTGGTCCCTTGTGCTATTCATAGGATTTTTAGTGGGTAATATTCACAAATAGTCCACCTCTCCTTCCTAGTGTGTTTTAGTGTGGAAAGTCCGCTGAATCCTGTCCGCCATAGGTAACCTTGCTGATATGTAAAATTCTAGTGGTGTAGTTTCCAACATCACAACAACACATAAGCCACCATAATATGACCAACAGAAGAGTTTTGTTCACAGAGTTGTAGAGTCAGTCAAGTCTCAAATGCATGGGTCTGATGAACCAAGTCCTTACAGGTTAAACAGCAGACGGTCCGGTTGGACAGGTAAGATGGCAGGTTGGTGATGACTCCCAGTACTGACAGGCAGTAGAGCAAGCCGCTGGTCTAAGATTAAGGAACTGGAGGTCGGCTGATGATCCCGATGAGTGCTCCAGACCCAGGATAGAGCAGGCAAGCTTTGCTTGACTGTCCAATCTATTGGAAGCAGGTGACTCCCCCAGGAATCCTTTTGGTTGTTTGGCTGCTCATAGATCTCATTATAGAGTTGATTACATTATATTACATCTCATCATGGGGAGGTTACTGTGCCGTAAGTGCCAAACCCATGAGAATCCTGTCCCAGTCAAGTTGACAAAAAAACTTAATTATCAGAGGAAAACCTCCAGCTTCTGTCCATTGAACATGTTAGCCATTAGTCGTGTGTGTGCCCTTAGTTATGTTCTGTTCCTTTTTTTCTGAGTGTTTTTTTTTATCATTCTTTGGTGTTGGTTTTTGTTGACTACCTCTTCTATATCTATTGATATAGAAGATCATGTGGTTCTTTTTCTTGGTTTGTTTATGTGGTGGATTGCATTGATTGTTTTTGTCATGTTGAACCATCCTCGCATACCTGGTATGAAACCTACTTGGTTATGGTGTTCTGTTTTTTGTTTTTTGATTCTACTATTTTCATTGAGAATTTTTGCATCTGTGTTCCTGAGGGATCTTGGTCTATAATTGTGTTTCTACTTTTGACTGTTACCTGGAAAGTGGGTGATTAAAATGTACCAGCTGGTTCATAAGACAAAACTGAACCAGTGTGTGTCTCTATTGATTTATAGCCTTTGGAGCAGCTCTGCTGTGTCCTGTCAGGGCGCGCTGAGTCTGATTTGACTCGATCACTGGGTTTGGTTTCTGGTGGTCTCTGAGGTATAGTGGTATAAATGTTGATTATATGTTGGTTTGTCTCATGGTGATTTTGTTTTCCTTAACTATATCTGGGCAACAGGGTCGGCATGCTACTCACTCTAATTGCTTGTTTGGCAGCACTGGGCTACTAACCGTCTGTCTCTGGGTGATTTTTGTAGGGGCTGGGATTGTGTAGGGACTTCACAAAAATAGCCATGTGGTATAGAAAAGGTGTTCCAATTTGCTTTCCAAATTCCTAATTTAAAAATATTTGTCTTTTTAAAATTAACTATCAAGTGGAAGGTGTGCATGTTGCTGTGTATCATTGCATGATGCACTTTTGGTTGATATTTGTACTTGTTCAGTTGTAATGAATATGAGTGGTCACTATAATTGTACTTGCAATTATAGGTGGTGACACTTGCTTGGTAGGTCAGGCAGCAGATGTGGTGGGTATGCCTAGGTAGGGTTGCTTTCTTCTTAGTGAGGAAAGAAAATTAAAATTGGGAGGAGTATAGGTAGGATAAAGGAAAAAACAAAAAACAACTCCAAAGGGTAGTGGAAGAGATAAGAACCAAGAGGGGTAAAAAAGTTTCGCAGCAGTGGTGCAAGCCATAACCACCATATACATCAATGCTGGAAGGTGGCCTTCTTTCCACAAGAGCGTGCACCCCGACTCTGGACATCTGGGGGCAAGTGCTTCTGAATGTCAAGGTGGTGGGGGTGGATGTCCTTTCCATGGGATAAAAAGATAAAAGGGGAGGGGAGAGAGTGGAAGAAACCAAAGAAAGACAAAAACAAAAGAGGAGAGGGAATAACTGAGGGGGAAGAACAAAAAGTAAAAAAGAAAAAGAAAAAACCCCACAGTACTGGGGCGAGCCCTGGTGAGTGCAGAGGTGGACATTGGTCCATCTTTTCTGAAAGATTAAAAAAAAGGGGGGCGGGCAGACAAAAACTACAAAAGAGAAAAGAACAGGGAGAGAGAGGGAAAATAAAAGGAAATGTAAAAGTATCACAGTGCATTGGCCAAGTGGCAGCATTGATGGACTCAAGTGTGGCAACAGTAGTGAGGTTGGCCCAGGATCAGGAAGTGTTTCATTCTGCTGTGCATAAGGTCGCTATGAGTCGGTACTGACTCGATGGCACCTAACAACAATAACAACACTGGCATAAGTGCCAACCACAAATGGGAATGTGGTGTCCACGGTGTGGTAGCACACAATGCCAACTGCTGAGAATCTAGGATGGGCACTGCTAACCAGGGGCTTGGTAGGGGGCAGTGAACTTTCTCCATGGGCTAAGCAAAGGGAATGGTGGAAAGGAACAAAAGAAGAAGAAAAAAATACCAGTGATAGGGAAGAGGGAAGAACTAAGGAGAAAGAAAAAGAGAAGAAAGTGGCAGAGCTCTGGCAGTGGGGGTATTTGACTAGTCACTGGGTTGGTGGTGGTAGGAGGCTGTGTACAGTAAAGGAGAGATCACTGATGTCAGTGCTGCTGTATTCCTGGGTGAGCAGAACTGCTTATCTGCTTCCTATCTCCATCAGAACATACTAGTCAGAGTTCAGAGTGGCCGCTCTGTGCCGGGCCAGTTGACAATTCACTGCCCCTTATGCCTCTTTGTTCATAGTTTTCATTCAGTCTCTTCTTCTGTCAGTATTTGATTTATTTCTTTATCCTTTCCTTTGACACTCTAGGTTCCAGTTTGTTGTCTATATTCTTTTCACTTGGTTTCTTTGGTCTTTGTTGTAGAGGTTCTGGATAAAGTATCTGTTTAGTCTGCCGTCTTAGACCCCATCTCTTGGTTTGTTTGTTTGTTTGTTTATTCTAATCATATAAATAGTAGTGTTATAATTCAATGTAGAAAGATTTTACTTAACAGTTTTGTTGTTAGTATTCCTATATATAATCTAAGAACTATTGCATTTACACAATTTACAACAATACTTATCATCTATTACTCTAAGATTGAAATTCATAATAAACCTGAGTAAGGGTTCTGTATGGTCTGATAGGGAGACTGTCCATGCTGGGAGGGAAAGGGGTGGCACCATGAGTTACTGCGCTGAGCAACAGTCCTAGTGAAACAGTGATTTTAATTCAAGTTCATTCACAAGTCAAAGAAATGAACAAATGAGAGCAATTTGTGAACTATTGTTTTCTCCTCTAGTAGATCTGTTTTACCCCTTTCTATAGAGACTTAAACAAACCTTCAGAATTTTCATAACTCATCAAATCCAAAAGTTTACATTTCAGATGGCTTGAGACATTTTGTAGTAAAAGGAATTATGCCAAAACTTTTTCTTATGATATTATATAAGTGGAAGACAGTGTAGTCATGTTTATCACGTAGGAAACACAGCACAGCTTCATCTAATTTCATCTTATTTGGGCTATTCATGTAACTAAATGACCAGCAGCTAAATAACTACATAGTCATTTAGTTCACTAGATTGTTAAATTCAGTTTCTGTTTGATACAGAGAAGAATTTAGAACATATGTCTGCTTAAACAACATATTCTGATGTAACTGATCCTTTCTGATTATTTTTTTAAGCTTTTGTTTACATTGAGTGTTAGTTTACATTCTGATGTAACTGATCCTCCCTGATTATTATCATTTTTTGAGCTTTCATTATGCATTGAGTGATAGTTCACATGGCAGAACATCAGCTTTACACTCATCCTATCGTATTTCGTATCATTGCAATGATTACAGTCCCCTCCATGCATCACATTCAACAGTATTTGCTTCTATTCCCTCTGGCTTTTTGTTGTTTGTTGCTTTTTTTTCTTTCTTTCTTTTAAAAACATTTTATTGTGCATTAGGTGAAAGTTTACATAGCAAATTTGCTTTCCAATCAGTAATTCATACACAAACTGTTCTGTGATGCTGGTGCAATCCCCACAAGGTGTCAGCATTCCCTCCATTTCCGTTCCTTTTCCTGACCTTCCCTGTCTTCTCATCTTTGGTTCTGGGAAAGTGCTGTCCTGTTGGTCTCATAGCGTTGATTGTTGTGAGGAGCGCATTCTTCCTGTTGTTTGTTTCCTGATCCCATCTATTATTTAGCTGGAAGATCGCCACTAGGAGTGTCCTTAGTTTAAAATTAGGGTTTCTCAGGACAATAGACTTGAGCGTTCCTTTAGTCTCTGACCAGCATCCTCTTGCTCTTTTTTCACTTGGGGTTTTGTTCTAGATTTTTTTTTTTAACCTATTCTAGCCAGGACTTTCTATTGTGGTCCTGGTTAGGGTGGTCAGTAGTGGTACCATAGCTGGGCACCATTTAGTTCTTCTAGTCTCAGGTTAGAGAAGGTTGTGGTTCAGGTGGACCATTAATCCTTTGGACAATGTTGCTTTTTTTTTTGATGTACCCCAAAATACTCAGGAATGTATAATCTTTTTAACAACCTAAGGGCATGTTCTGCAAGTCTGCCTCTTGACAGCCAGCACACAGCCTTTCTCTTTCCTTGACTCAAGAGTCCTCAGCTGCTCTGCCTCTCAATTCTTGGTTTGTTTCTTAGTCAGTGAAATTTTGTCCTCTTTCACATTCAGTCCTGTTGTGTCTTTTACTAATCACTGTTGTTCTGTAATTTCTTTGTAGTAGTTACATGGAACAAGAGATCAAATGAAATGCGTAAATTTATCTTTCAATTTCTAGAATGACTTTTTCTGTCTTCATTTACAGGATCTATACATCGATCGCCCGTTACCTTATTTAATTGGATCAAAGCTGTTCATGGAGCAGGAAGATGTAGGTCTTGGCGAGCTGTCTAGTGAAGGTATTCATTTTTTTTTTTTTTTTATAACGAAATATTTTTAACATTTATGTCTTAACTTTTGATTTAAAAATGTGAAACTTTACATTAACGTTGCAAGAATAGTACCAAGCACTCCTGCATGCCACTCAGAAACATTGGTTCCTCATCCGTTCTCTCGAGTCATGATGGTTTTCCTGAAGGTATTTGACAGACAGTAGTGCCCCATTACTGTTCAATGTATCTGCATATTTTCTAAGAATCTTATAGGACTACTAAATATACTTCAGTTCTTCCATAACCATAATGTAGCTATTGAACTGAAGAAGTTTGACAAGAATTGTTAAACTACACTGCAGTATCAGTACAGTGTCTCTTCCTCTGCTCCAGGATCCATGCCAGCATCACTCACTGTGTTTAGTTGTCAGATCTCTCTAGTCTTCTATGTGATACAAAGCCTTTCTTTGCTTTTCACTTCCTTAATGTCTTTGACGAGTACAGAGCAGATAGAAAACCTCAGTTTACATTTGTCTTGTGTTCCCTTTAAATTGTATTGAGCTTATGTATTGTGAGCTAGAATCTTCCATAAGTGCTAAGACTATTTGCATAGTCTGGCATCCCCTGGAAGGCACATGAAGTCAGTTGGCCTTTGATGGTGATCGCCGTGGTTACTTGGTCCAGGTGGAGTCTGTTTGAGTTCTCCTGTCAAGTTACCATATTATTATTGGTAAATAAGTATTTTGTGGGAGACACTTGGAAAGTTTGTAAATATCCCATTCCTCACCATAGGAAAGATGTGGCTAATATCGGATAATGAGTAAAGATGGTTTTATCAAAATCTCTGTGATTCTGTTGTATGGTAAGTTTATGATCTTGAAGAAGAAGTAAGGATGTTTTCTTGTGACTATTAGTGATCACCTTTATCTCTCTTCTGAACAGAAGGTTCAGTAGGCAGTGACCGTGGTACTTTTGTGGACAGTGAAGAAGAGAAAGAAGAGGTAAGGACTGTTTGATGTGACCAGGCCATCCATGGTGGGCAGAAACTTAGGATATGTTTTGCAGGCTATGCAGATAATATATTTGTGAATTCACAATCTGTTTTCTAAATATTTTAGCAGTGGTAGGAGTTTACAGTATTTTCCTTGGAGCTAGATTTCCTTTTAGTCTTGTGGGCAAAAACAAGGAAAACCACTCTTGAGTCCTTTTCCCCATGACCCTTTCTCCCACCTCACTACTAAATCCCTCTCTTGACAGTATTTTTATGGGAACACCTTAGATATTTTGGTGGAATCTCTGCATGAGTTAGAGTTTTTGAGTATTATTTTGAATAATCCTAGGGGGAAAAAAATCCACGTAAAATAATTTTTTTCCTATAAAACCTAGAGCAGAGGATGTTTCAGGAAAACATCTACATATATTCTAGCTGTTTTACTGTCTCCAGTGACTTCATATTCACAGAGTAGAGTCTCACTCCCTGTTCTATGTCTCAGTGTCTGTGGGCCGTGACCACAATTGTATCTGGAGTTGTTAATTTAGAAGGAGTTCTCATAATTCAAAGGGCAGAGACAGTGAAAGAAAATCCTGAGTATGAGATTTCTAAAAGGAGACCGATTTGGATCCATTCTCCTCTTTTTGCATCCCTTTTCCTCTCTACAGCTCCCCCTCTTGCCCTCCACTCCCTGGCCCTCTAAATAAAAACCCATCCATAGGAAATAAACTTTTCTTAAATAACTTGCTTTAACAGATGGTCATTAAAAGAATCCTTTGCTTTTAGCCATCAAAGTAGCTCTTGTCATAATTACTGATTGCAAATGCTGTTATGTTTCCCTTCATGACCTGCAGAAGTAGTTATCCTGCTTAGAGAGAGTATGTAGAAAGTTGAGTTTAAATGTAAAGTGTCACAAAGCAACTTTGGATAATTTAGGTCATTAAATATGAACGTGCTACTTTAAATCTGCAGGTTCAACTTGATAGTGCAGATAGATGTTTTAAAGGATCCACAAAAATTTCGTATTAACTTGAAGTAGACCTTAGTGTTGTGGCCAACTCCCCAGCTAATCTGCATCTTAGTATGTGAGGTGACCAGTAGTCAGTATAAAAGCTTTTCTTCAACTGAGCTTAGTAACCAACGTGCCTCAGAGACTTTGATTTGAGACAGTTCTGTGCTCATAAAGCCTTTTTTTCTCCCTCCAAAGCAGTCAGATGAAGACTTTGCCAATCACAGTGACAATGATCAAAACCGGGTAAGACTCATGTTTGAAGTAACTTTATTTAAAAATTTTAATTGAAGTATAGCATATATAAAGGAGCTCTGGTAGCATAGTGGTTATGAGATGGGCTGCTAGTCTCACTGTCAGAAGTTCGAAACTACCAGTAGTTCCACAGGAGAAAGATGAGGCTTTCTGCTCCTGTAAAGATTTCCAGCTTTGGGAACCCTGTACAGGGTGTAGGCCTACTCCATGGCACATAACCACCACCACCATAACGTATATAGGAATCCAGGTGTGGCAGCTGTCGGGTAAGCACTGGACTGCTAATTGCCAGGTCAGTGATTTCTGCTCCTCAGAAAGTGTACAGCGTCACTGAGTTGGAACTGACTCTACAGCACTTAAGCATAGCATATATACCAAAATTGCTTTTGAATAGTTTTCTTAATTGTGATAAAGGAATTTTGTTTTAACTAACAAATTGGAAAACAGAGCCCTAAAAAGGACTAGTAACAAAACTATTTTACATGAATCCCCTTTTTACATTTTGAAATGAATCACCCTTTTATGTTTTAAAATTTGAGCCAGTAACATTAATGGACAGTCTAAAAATGCAAAGCTTCTAATTCTACAGCCTTAGCAGTTGTCTGGTAGCGTAGTGGTTACGAATCGGGCTGCGAACCTTAAGGTCAGCGGTTCGAAACTACCAGCCACTCCGCGGGAGAAAGATGAGGCTTTCTACT